TGTTTTCTAAGGAATCATGAGGCCAGTACACACAACCACAATGCATGATGCTAAAACACGAGACGACAGAAACATTAAATTGTCTTTAAAAATATAATAATACATTAACTAAATTAAAAAGTATGAATCATAATCATGTCCCTTTTATTGGTGTCCCATTTGGAAAGATGCTCCGACGCCCCTAATTTTTTTATTGGAATAATAATCCGTTCGAATAAGAATATTTTAGCATAAACTATCATATTTTAGATTGACCTTTGCCTTTTCATGTATGCCTTCATGAACAGAAAAACCGGTACACCGATTTCTCTTTAATCAAGTTAATTATGGCACTGGTTTTTTTTAACATATACCAAATGTGTCCACAATAGGGTCTGAAATGAAATCATGTTTACTCACTTCAAACATGTATTTTTAGGATCAGGACTATTCATATTTTTGAGAAATGCAAATTTTGGACCTTAATCTATCTCCTTATTTATTCACCAGATATGAATACTTTGAGTTTTTACAATTTTATTGTGAACTATAGCATATCTAATAACTGTGATATAAAACTCATTTGCTATTAACTTCACCAACAAATATGTTGGTCTTTAAGAATATGTTTCAGAGATTATTCATGCAAATTTTTGAGTTTCTATCTTGAAAAAATACAGATTTTGTGTCCCTTGAAAGTGAAAAATAGCTCCAAATTAGGGTTTTGACAATAACAAGTTTTTATTTCAATAGGTAAAATGCTTTTTTCTTAGGTCAAACTTATTTTATTATAACAACTGATGATATAAGTTAAATACATCCCAAAAAATTGGGGAACCAGTGCATTGCCTAATAATTTTCATATGTCACACCACTGGTGTTTCGGACGTTACACACTGTTAACATCATAACTTTATTCAAGTTAATTGCTTTTCTTTAGGTATTATTGACCTAAGTTACATTAATTGTTTGCAGAAAAATATTTCTTTAACATTTATTGAAAAACTTGTGCAGTTTTAATTAGTTTTGCATATATACCTAGTTTGTCTTCATCGACTACTCAATTTATGTAAGGTAAACTGTTCATTTCAGGGACGTGTAGTTAAAAATGCTTATGTGATCTAACAAAGTGAAATATGGAGCTAATAACAATTGTAGTCATCACAACTCCTAGAAATTTCACTTTATACAAACATACTCTCTTTTGCAGGTTATGAACAACAGTGTACAATATATGCTATAGTTTGTTTCGGATGTTACAAGATGTGAACATTTCAATCAGATCATCAATTTCTTCAAACTTTACAACATAGATGTTTAATCGGCTTGCTTTGTACTTTGCCTTAAACTAGATTCATGTAGTGTGTCATTCAATAATATCACTATCACATACATGTACAGTGTGTACAGAGTAAGCAAAACATTACAAAAATACTTTTAACAAATAAAAGTATACAAAGTATCCCCAGCCACTTAAGTAATAAGAAATATGGGAATCCTAATTCATTGTACATCCCGATATTTTTGCATAAATTTGAGGAAGTTACTATATCTTTAGGATCATGATATGATCATTAACATGTACATTTTGTTATGAGGGTCAAGCATTTGAAAAGTATTTGTACATAAGGCTAGTACATTTCAGGGTAATTCATCCAATGAAAGGAAAAAATTATGAATTAATTAATTTTGAAGAGGCTACACCTTATTTTCATGTTCATGCTTTAATTACCCCCACAAATTGGTAATCCATTTTCTTGTCATTTGGAAATTTGGCAGATCTACATCTATGTCAACATTATGTTGTACAAGTTTCTATAATAGGTATCGGATACTGATTACTGATTATTGTTTTATAATGGAAGCCTTTGTGCTCATCAATTGTACATGTATGCAACCAATGAGTGTGTCATGTAGTGTGCAAGCCAATTTCATAAAATTGCTTGATAAATTGTTATCATTATTAAGCGTAAATGCCAATTCCAGTTTTGGATAATAGCAGTAGTAACCGTTTCTTCATCGATTAGTTACATGTACTGAGTGCCCTTTTAAAAATGTATTTTCAGATGAAAATACATATTTCTCATAATTTTTTAGAAAAACATTTTAATTTTCTTGATTTTATCAACTTCATATACCTGTATCATATCCATGTCATGACCATGCACACTGGGTGTTGCTTAAGTGGGTGATTTTGATTTTTGTAACCTACCAGATAGTGTAAATTGACCATACAATCTTTGGTTATATGACATCATTTTGAACAACCTCTATAAAAATGAAAACCTCAAGATTTGCAAACACACACCAATGTAAATAGCAAAAGGAGAGGTTGAACGAATGAAATTTGCTATTCTCACATCTACCATTGCCCCTCATTTGAACTAGTTAAAGTATAAAAATGTCTGTTAACAGTTTAATGTAAGGTCCGAAACGTGCTAACAGCATACCAGAAAGTGCGGTTAAAGTGGCTGAATATTTGTTACGAGTCACTTTTGTTGAGATTTTTTCTGATAAATTACAATTAGGGATATACTGAAGCAGCCAGCCATGCCTTGCATCACAAAGTGTGGCTTCAATATTTTATGTTTTATAAGTCAATTTTGCAGAAAATTAGATATTTTACGGATTATTTGATTTCTGGCATCATATTTCTACACATTTTTATATTTAAATCTGAATAAAATCATCAAAGTAGTGTTTTTAACAGGAGTGTCCATTGTGAAATGGTAACTTGCAGATAATGATCAAAATTAGGTGAAATTTGTCGACTTTGTGTTAACAATATAATTGTGTAACGTCCGAAACACCATTCTTGTGATTACAACAAATTAATGGATTTGAAAGACCTGATTTGTGTTTTGACTTGTGTTAAGACTTATAACAACTTATTTCATAATGATTTATTCACTCTAGATACCTTAAAATATGGATTATTATCATTTTATTGGTATTTTTTGTATCGGACGTTACATTTGTTTCGGACGTTACAACTGTTAACGGAAAATTGGTTCTAACTATAAAATAGTATTGTAGTAATGTATTGCAAATTTCTTTGTTTTGGTGGGTAGCTGCCATGAGATGTTAACAAAATGTTATGATAGATATATCCTGCTGTTCATATATTTTCTGCTACTTCAACTTGAAAATTGTTTCGGACGTTACAAAACTGTTAACGGAAAATGAGACAACTTTTTCAAATTTTGAGTATATTTCTAATATAAGCGCTACTATAATTAAATTATATTTTCTTTTAATATAATCACTTGGAGCAACTAATAAACTCACTCAAACCATATGCAATCTCATTAATTTGTTGTTCTAGTGGGTTAAATAAGGGTCTAAATTGTTTACGGAAAATGTAACGTCCGAAACGCCATTTTCAATTGCACTTTTCCATTAAAATAGGGGAGTTGATTCAGATTACTGTTAAGTTTCTTTAAGATCCACTCATGCTCATTAATCATCAATAGAAAAAAAAAATATCGTTTGTGGCTATGTAATTTTTTCAGCTCCGACCAACATGGCATGTCAATTTTGTTACAAAATTCCGTAAACAATGTGCTGTTCAGGGATATCTCATGCGCATAAAGCAACGATGAAAATTTTTCGTTAAGCTATGGGAGGTTAACCTAGGTCCATGCTACAAGAAAAAGTTGTTACTGATTTCTAATTCTTTATCTTTGGAAAGTTTCAGGCTCTCAAAGGGCCATTTAGGTATTTGGTCATAGTTAAAAAAACCAGTGCCTTATATCATTTGATTTGATTTGATTTTCTTCTGCATTCACGTAAGTTTACAGTTTTTCGATAACAATAATATATAGTACAATAAGTATTTTATTGACAATGAATCATAAATTAGAATATACATATACATGTATATATATATATATATATATATAAATATATAAATATATATATATATATATATATATATAAATATATATATATATATATATAAATATAAACTATCATTTTCAAAAAACGAAATGATAAACTCTCACAGATACTAATTTTTCTCAAACATTATAACACATTATAAAATTATTTGTGGAAGAAGGACTGTGATTGTAAGCAGATTACTTGATGATACGACATTATTGACGACAAACTTGTCAAATCAAACCCGACAGGCTACCAGCGTTACACGCATGTCCTCATACAGGATGATGTAATTCATTGCTATGTAAGTAACAATAACGAACGGTTGCTTAATCTGGAGAAGCAAAGAAAATGGAAAGAGATTGAAACTGTTTTGCCCAATATTTAACTCATTTTCAAAGTCTAACTTTGACATTCCACAGCTACCAATGGAGACAGGAGAATAACTAAAAGTCGCTGGGATTAAAATGAAAGGCTACTATAACATCAAAATAAAACAAACTGCACAAATCTTGGTTACAAAACTATTAAGATAAAATGACATAACTATATAAATGATGTTGTTGAACCGATCTTTTGATAGCAAACTGTATATACGTATGCATATAGGTGAACAGCATTATAAAGCAACATAGACATTACAAAACTGATGAAGATTTGATTCTAGACTAATATTGTTGAAGGGAAGTATTATAAATCGATTGTAGTATGGCGTTTCATTTCAAGTATAAAAATCACACAGCATTTTATCTAAATTTACCTTGTAAAATGAGATTTACTACTTTGCGTGTAACATGAGCGCATTCAATTAAATTATAACGAGTATACAGTTAACTTCGTGTAAATGGAAAACAAAAAAATAAGTAAAACGTTCAAAATAGACAGATAACAATTAGATTCTATGTTGACCGTCTCAAAAATAAAGATTCAAAGAACTTAGGTCGTAGAAAATCTCTTTTTTTTAAAACCAAAGCTAATGATAACCACCTCTTTTATCTGCATATGAAGGGTTTTGAGGTGTAAGTTTAGGTGTTAGGTGCAAAATACGTTTTACGACATACAAAACATTCAAATAAAATTCAACATTATAAGTCAATCGCCTTCTTTAACACATCTACATACATTTTGAGTGCTACGGTTCATCCATGGAGTTACTAGCCTAGTAACTTCATGGATCACCAAACACATAAGCAGCATTAGTGTGATCATTATCCGACCTCCTTGCATTCTTAGGTGCGCGACGCCCACACATTTCACCGAGTATAATGGAAACAGCGAGTATGATGAGGAGTGCAACGCATGATAATGAAATGATAGCCCATATTGGTAGTGCTACTCCAGGTAATTGTGTGGATAGTGGTTCCGATGTCGAGTTCAGAATGGTAGTCGACATGGTAGTCGGGGGTAGGGAACGTCTTGCGACAGATACGATGTTCGATAATGGACCTGCGTTGCCAGCCTCATCCCAGGCTCTTATCATGAATGAAAAGATAGCCTCTGAGTCCTCACCAGGCAGAAGAATAGTGATGGACTCGAGAGTACCAGATGAAGCGACTCGGGAGAGGTTACCAAGTATGCGATCGGTATCGTTAACAGCAGGAGCGGATGTAAAGTTGGTACGGATTTGGGTGAAGTTATCTGAGAAACGGAGCTCGTAGTAGGCAGCTACAGTGTAGAGACGAAAAAATAAAAGATCAAACCAAATGTCAAAATGTCAAAAACACTTCTTAATGCAAGGTAGATACTTAATTAAACTATTATGCTTTTGCCATGATTGCTTTCTACGCCAACGTAAAACTACACTACTTCACTTATGTTCGAGTGCCAACAGAACAAAAAGTCCAAAAGAATTGTACAATCAAATCATTGTTCACCCTTAACTCTTTGTATGTAAAATAACATGAGTAGCGAACAAAATCGGCTAACTTAATGAAAGACAGCATACACCTGTAGGTAAATTTGACATTACGTAGTCCTAATTTTTTCCTTATATCCTTGCTCGTTGGAAACATCAGCCAAACTGTTGGCAAATTGCCGACACCCCTCCACTTTCTACCAGCTATGCCCCTGCTGATCAAGATAGGGGTATTTTACCTGTTCCTTGGTCTAAATCATCCCCTACAGCCGACCATGATAACGTCACATTTCTGTTCGCATCGTAAGTCCTCTCTCTGCTAGTGATATCAGTGATCTTAGATGGTGCGAGGATGTCAAAAAGCAGATCAGGAGAGTAGTTTTCGACTTGAAAGACGCCTGCTGTAGTCGTTCGCTGGAACAAAAGCGACGGGGCGGGAGTGGTTAGTGTTCCCACATCTCGTTTTAATCGCAGAGTATCTAGAACAAGAATGAAAACAAAGAGCAAATTTAAGAGTTGACAAATTTGATTGTAGATGGTAACACATTTTAGGGGTAATTTAAGTTCCTCTTGGAGGAAAATCCTTTAAGATTTACAATTTTCCCTCTACTAAACGTTGTGCAATCATACAGTTCTATAACTGGCGTAATGATATACAACTGCATGTAATTAAGTTCCCTCCAAATGGTATTAGATTACTTCAAGAGGATTTACATTCAAACATTTAACGAGACCGATGCCAGACCAACTACAGACCGAACAGAAGATTACATTATGCAGAATGGTAAAAACTTGGTGGGTTTGGCTGTGTGACTGAATTATAACACAATAATAATTTAGATCAAGACTTCAAACGTGTTTCATGTATGGTGTGCATTATACTAATAATAATAGGTACATTTATATAGCGCAGCTATTATATAAATATAATCTACTGCGCTTGATACAAAGTATCATATTGTGATGCCGGCTGTAGTTGAGCCAACACAATAAGGCGCTAAATAAAAGCATAAAGGAAGTTTCTTCCTATCGGGAATCCATTTACTTCACATTGGTGAAGAGTGGCAGATGTAGATTAGTGTCATGACAAAGGAAAACAGTGCCATAGCGGGACGGGTACGGCGAACCATGTAATCCACGGTCCGATGATGTTTCCACTAGACCACGACACTTCTACATTCAATTCATATTGATATGAAGATTCAAACTTTCTATATTGAAACAAACTTTACAACCTGTGCAAGTGTCTACAGTCCAACCAGTTTATCAGGACCACTGCCAGGAGGGTCGACGATGGAGGGGAGGGAGGGGTGGTGGTGAAATGTTCCCACTGCAGACAGGTGGCCCTTTAAAGTTCTACAGACGCTACACGTTCTAGACGAGGAGCCAATGAAGGTGGCCACTTAAGACAGGTGGTCTTGGAAGATAGATGACCGCTAAAAGGCTATACATGGTAGGTACATGAATATGACACAACTCACTGTCTGATGAAGTATCGGCGTTTCCGTTTACATCTACCTTGACGCCATATCGTCCATTCGATGAGAAATCAAGGAAAGAAGCCGAGTAAATACCATCACCTGAGATTAAATCAGCTCCTGAATATGGCACACAAATAAACATGCATCGCCGAATTTTATTGTGCCACGTATTAATAAACATGCTTTTCGTACCCTTCCCCTCACACACACGCACATTTTCGTTCCTAAAGGGGAGGCGATGTTCACTGACTCTCCCTCTACCCCCTTTCTCTCTCTCCTCTCCAATTTCGCTCTTTATTTCTCTTCCCTTCTCTCCCCTTCTCTCTTTCTTTTACTTCCCCTCTCTCCTCACTATCTCTTCCTTACGACAACAGACTTAATCTTGTGTATAAGGATATTCACTCGAAGTTTATATCATTTTCATAACATTCCTTTGTATAGCCTAAATTTTGTATTCTTTCATCAAAATTGGACTTCAAACACCTTTTTTTTTGAAAATCCTCTCCAAAACTGATACCATTGCTTTGCACAGCCAGTTCATATGCAGTCAAAGGGGGTAGACCGTGCCTTTGAATCTGGCTCAGTCAGGGGACCTAATACCTCCCTCCCTTCTTTTCTTATATACATATATACCCCCCCCCCCCCCGATTTTGGTCTCTGGAAACCAGATTGAGACACTCACCATAACAAACAAAAACACAATAAAAACCAGAAACTACCCATTAAAAAAGTATAAACACCAGATGACTGAAACCAGGAAGGAAGTTAATCAAAATATGTTAAAGATTATTTTTACATACATCTGCTAGGGGGGATGCACGCTGGGCCGTATATATTATTGCGTCTATTTAGGGTGTGTCTATTAATTTTCTTTCACTTTGATTTACTCGGAGAAAGGTTTTCCTTGGATTCATTTCAACTAGATAAAGCTGACTTGGTGAACAAGGCTCTATTTACTGTGTGTTCCTGTAGGAATTGAAACATTGCATCAAGGTAAAGTTGAATTGAACTATTTCTATGTGTTCTGAGGCTAACAGAAATCAAATTGGAATTACAAATATTAATACCTGCTACAGCCTAGTATAATTCTAAAGAAAACCATCTGAGATGAATTATTGTGAAAAACCTTTATTCTGAATATTTTAACCATCTTAAATATCCTTCTTTTTTTTCTTCAAATTTAACACGAGCAGTCGATCTGAAAACTTCATATCACTCTCATTGCCTACACTAGCAGATATTGGGAGTGTAGACTTGGAGACTGACCGATTGGGAACTTGGAGTGTTATTAGCCAGAGTAATGCCTAGGTCACATATAAACCGGGCCCCTTACGATTTTCTCTACCCGGCGGCTTACCGTGGATTTAGAGACCGTACGGGAACCTACCGATTTTAATTTCTACGGCATGTGTGGTCACATATTCTGCGGCGCCCGTGTGGTAACCGGTGAAAAATTGGTCGAGTGAAATGCAAGGCGCCCGTAAGGGTGCCGGCCGGTGAGCTTACGGGCTCCGTCCGATGAGCAAGTTCATCCATGGCTCCCGGAAGGTGCACTGCCGGGGCTCGGTCGGGTGCCGTGCGGTGCACTGAACTGTGTGTCCTCTGACATCCGCTCCTCTTGTATTTAAAGCTGCGTTGTACATTTTGAGACGCCGTCGTGAGGGGCCCGCACGGCCAATATTAATTTCAAATGGCCCCCGGACGGCAGACGCCCGGTGTTGTGCATATCACTCGGGGCTCTCGAGGGGCCGTGAGGGAGCCGTAGGGTACACGCACGGCACCGCAAGGCGTCCGTAAAGATTTTTATGAGAATCGACCCAAAACAAATTTTGATGGGCCCGTCACGGCGCCCGTACGGCTTAATAAACTGTCCCGTAGGAACTTTACGGCAGCCGGTGTCCGGACACGGGCTGAAAATTCCCAAAATGTCTGTTTTTATTCGCCGTACGTGCCCCGGAGTGAATATGTGAAATGCCTGGATTACATTTGACCTGCGATTAGTCTACGGAGCCCATATCTTGCCCGTATCCCCCTTTTCGTCATTTTTGTGTCAATTCGGTATATAAAAGAAATATTGACTGCCTTAATATTCGAGGACTGGCTCTTTCTATACTGGCTCGCGGGGAAGTTGCATCCAGGCATCACCCCTAGGCGCGCCTGGGTTTTCGCTCTGCTTTGGGGCTTCTGTCTTCCTTTGCAATGGTTGCTGGGCTGATTTTTACAGTCAAATTTTCCGTACTTTGTCAGAAAAAAGTAAATATTTGTTTTCAGAATAAATCCGTTTTTATGATGGGACAAACACATATTGTTCATAAATAACTCACCCAATATTTGCGTATTCAGAATAAATCTCGAAATCCATAACTTCCCAACTAGCTTAATGACAAACATCTAAATTCTTTGTTTGAATTGTCATATTATTGGGACATTAAAAAAGCCTCGTGTGTCTAGGTAATTTTGTATCCTTTTGCTTTCTATTTCAATTCAATTCAATTCAAATAATTGACTTCCAAAGCTTAATCAAAACATGAAAAAAGTCAAATTAATATCAAATGACAATTGCAATATAACATATAAAATGAAACCTATTTGTAATTATAAAATATGAAATGTCGCTAAGTAATAAATGCATTTAAAGATACAAAGTGTATGAGCATAATATTTTCATAAATAAAGTAGAATTTAAAGTAAATCGAGAAATCCACTAAAAAGCAGTGCTTGTATTTTTGTGGTTTACTCAAGAAAGAAAAAGGAGAGGAAGAAAGATAAAGAAAAAAGATTTATATGAAACATCGATTTTACATGCATTTGACATACGAGAATCGCATATTTTGTTTGTTCTGTTTTGTTTTCATTTAATTTGTTTGCTTTTTTATTTTCTACTTTTTAAATTAAAACATCAGTTGTTAATGTTAAAACCGCTGGCTGTCATGGGGCAAACTAATAATGAAAATCGGAAATGGTTTTAAAAAGAGTCGGAAATCGGTGTACTTTCATATCGTGTACAAAGTGGATAACAATTATAGTACATGTAATACAATGCGCGCTATTTGTCTTTGGGAATCCCTCCTAGACTCCAGGGTCGCTCAGTATGGGGGGGAGGGGAAGTATAAAAGAATTTCTCGACATATCCTCCATCATCCCATTCGGAGCTGAGGAACGTGGATCCCCATTAGGTCATGGTTATTTATTTATTTATTTTTTATTTTATTTATTTTTTTTTTTTTTTGGGGGGGGAACCCTGACTCATTGTTACGAGGATCGAAACTACTTGATTTAAATCAACTCGGCCATCATGTGGCCATGGAATAAACGTTTGGCCTCATTCGCCGTTTTTACAATACCTTTCAAACATGGTATTTGCAATGTATAGTAATTTTGGTGCGTATAATTGCACATTAACCACTTACATAACCTTGCACATGGGTAGAAAAGGGTCATTTAGAAGAAAAACAATGTTAACATTTAAAACTAATGAGCTATGGTTTTTCTATGACACTGTCTTTATTTTTCCATGACTGTTTTGTACATGGTCGGTAAATAGTTTTAAATACTTTTTTAAAGGAACGTCCCGTCTCCTAGCTCCGTTTGTTTGGTAATGCTTCTGTATGATTCTTTTAATACTATAGGGTTATTACATTTCTTTGTTGCATCAGTCATATTGCTTGTAAAGTAAAGTTGGGAAAAGACAATAGAGAGAAATAAACAAGACAAATAAATAATAATAATATAATAATATTGGATTCTTATATAGCGCACGTATCAACCTTGCAAGGTCCTCAAGGCGTTCCAACTTTACCCGGCTATGCTAGGCTGCCGATTTCGACGCTCACAGCATTTTAAGGAATTCCTTCCTACCGGTACCCATTTAACACCTGGGTGGAGAGTGGCAAATGTAGATCAAATCAAGTTAAAATAAAAACGAACGGTATTCAGATTAAGGTTGCCCCTGCCTTTTGCAAGCTTTCGTTTCACTTTGAAGATATCCCTTTACTATGATAATACACCTGGGTCCAGAAAGTATACTATAAATAAGCCGACAAATAATAACAATAATTAAAAACATATATTTATTGGCATATAAGCAAGCCCCTTAATACCTTCTACATGAATATGTACCGTTAAACTACAGTACTTTCATTTACAAAACAGTGGCAGTCGGTTATATACACGTTTCTTTTCATACTTTGTTCATGTAAGTTATCCTATTTCATACCATTTCTTCTATTAGGCGAAGGACAATCTCGGAAAATACTGGTCAGGTGTTACATGAAACGTCAACAAGATGAGGATGTCAGATCTTTACTCCATATTATTCGTCATAATTACTCTTACATTTATTCATCGAAGGGAGACCATTGAGGCAGCATCATGTCATCAGGACTTCAGTCTGAAGGTTGCCTTCTGTTCTGATAATGGATTCAGGTCTGTTCCTACAGATCTCTTACCTGATCTCAGAGAACTCTACCTAGAGGACAACCTTCTAACCACGCTTACAAATGAGACGTTTGAGAGGTATCCCAGCCTTCGTGTGCTCTCACTAGATAATAATAACATATCTCGCATTGAGGAAGGTGCATTCAACCCCTTAAAGAACTTGTTTCGCCTGTCGATTGGATATAACCTATATTTACCTACTCTTAAGAAGTCAATGTTTCGTTCTCAGAGCTTGGCGGATTTTAATGCAGCATATTCTAATTTGAAGACATTTGCAGGTGACATTGCTGCTTGCTTAGCCCAAGGGACAGTCTTGAGTCTTTCCGGAAATAAACTGCGAAAGATAAACTGGACCAGTTCAAATCTTCTAAGCCATGTTTACCTTGCTTCAAACAGATTTCGACAAATTTCAAAAAAGTCGTTTATTTTTAACAACCATGTTGATACGCTAGATTTGTCTACAAATCCAATAGAATTCATTGAAGCCAGCGTTATCTCTACGTTCCATGTCAAGCAAATTGAATTGATGAATACGCGCATAGCAGTTTCTCAACTAACGAATTTCTTTCATGGCATCAGATTATCAATGTTCATTAAAGGATTTGATTTTACAGGCGCCAAACTCCACACCATCCAGAATGGATTGTTCGCACCGCTCAAAGGAAAGAATCTAGACAAAATTGACATTGAAATGAATAGCATATATATGATTGAAGACAATGGTTTTGATGGTTTAGCAGGCGTTTCTGAGCTTCAGCTAGGATCGAACAATCTGGAAGAGATAGAACCAAGTGTCTTTAACGGAATGATGGCTCTTCGTACCCTTTCATTGGATGCTAACAGAATCCTAACTCTCAATAGTAAATCTACCCCGTGGAATATCTCACTCATACATCTAAACTTGGCACGCAATGAACTAACAGCAATCAATGGCTCGGCATTCTATGGTCTGAAAACTCTCAAGACATTAGACTTGAGTGGCAATTTCAAACTTCAAGCTATTGAAAATAACACGTTTGTCGATTTTCAATTTTTGAGTGAGTTAGATCTGTCCAACACACATATTTTTGTGCTAACTTTTCATCACCTTCCTTTCCTCGCTACCTTAATCTTAGAGTCTTCATATTGCCCTACAAGTTTGATTCGACCCGGTAACCTTGGCAATGAAGCGCCCTCTTTAACAACACTCAATCTAATCAACAATGCGCTTGGGCCTGAAAAGCTATGGGATTCATCCGACAACAAATCTTCTTTCTTTGGTTTGCAAAACCTATCGCGACTTGAACTTTCAAGTAATACATTGGTTTCCATCCCATTGGGCATCTTCCAGAATTTGTCGAATCTACAAATTTTACGTTTGGATAAATGCTCGCTTTTTGTATTAGAAACAGGTATATTTATAGACCTGAATAGCCTTGTCTTATTGAGTTTGGAATACAATAATCTAAAGGTTATTTCAGCTGGGTTGTTCGATAAATTATATGATTTGCAATATCTATTTTTGTTAGAAAATGACTTGACATACCTTGATTCTAATTTGTTCAAGTACTTATCAAATCTGGTGTATCTTGATGCTTCGGTAAATCGGATATCCGGCTTGAACCGTAGCACGTTTGAACCCCTAGCGCGCCTAACGAAACTTAAACTATCTCTCAATCCCCTGGTCTGTAATTGTGATCTTAAATGGTTACCTGGTTGGTTAAAAGGGAAAGTAGAGCTCATTGATTCGATGCATACTATATGCCTCGATAATGCAGTGACTTTGGAGCCATTTAGGGGCAAACAATTAATCACTTTCGATCCTAAAGACGAATGTGGTCCGAACATCATCCTCTACTCTTGTTTGGCCATATTAGGTATGGTACTGATCTTTGCTCTAGGTTTGATCTACTACCAGCGATGGTGGATCAGATATCGACTGTTCCTTCTAAAGCTCTGCTTCATTGGATACGAAGAGATACACGACAATGTCGACAGAGGAGAATTCCATTACGATATCGCCATCATGCTCGACGAAGCCGACGATGTGTGGGTCAACCAACACTTGAGACCAGCCCTGTTGGAGCGAGTTCCAGGCTTCAATCGAATCGTTTGTGGTGATGAAGAGCTCATGCTTGGTATGTACTACCTTGACGCCGTCCACTACGCTACAGAAAAAAGCTTCAAGACTATTATCGTGATCAGTCACGCTGCTTTACAGGACCAGTGGTTCATGATGAAGTTCCGAACCGTTCTCGATCACGTCAATGACATCGGTACAGAGAAGATGATTCTCGTATTTGTGGAGGACGTTGTGGATGACGAACTCCCTTTCCTAATCAGACTGTTTCTTAGTGATCATCGACCGTATCTGGTTTGGCCAGACGATGAAAGAGGACGAGACTACTTTTGGGAGGAGTTGGTCCGGGATCTTACGTTCAATCTCAGGTGCAATCACCTGATACCTCCTGATTGATAGATGTCAGCAACAACACTTTTCATTTGGCAGATTGAGAATTATGTTTTACTTGTTTCGATATGACCCTATTTCTGGATTATTTGGTATTTTGACCATCACGTGCTCTTTACTGTACTCTTTAATTGTGTAAATACACGTTGAAAGGGTTGACTAAAAGTGACGGAAACGAGACTAGCTTGTTAACAACAATGTTACACTGTGCATTAAGAATATGTTAACTAAAGTACGACATTGTCTTCTGCTTAAAGTTTATGTCACATTTAATATCGCGTATGATACCTGCTCAAAAGCAGAATCAAATGTCAATCTGCACGCTGTAGATTTGCTTTAACTTCACGACCTTTTCTTATTAAACAAAATCTATTCACCTGATGTGTCTGTGATTGGAATGACAATTAACTTGATTAAGGAGGTTGTTTAGAAATTCGACTTTGATACTCCTTAGCTGACAGTCAATTGTCATTAAATTGTTTATTGTGAATGCCTGATTACTGGTGATCTGAAGAGATCAACCTTCTAAAGAGCCGCTGTCTGACCAAGAGGCATTTGCTTCCATGTACTGTAGAAAATCATTTCTGTCTTTCGAAAGTTTAGGATCTTTAGATTAATTCTTCATTGACAATCCAACGCCATGACTTTAAAATTTCGCCTACCCGGGATCGGTCTTTTTAACGTTTTAACTGCATAACTGCTCTTCTCATAGTGGAACAAGCGGCTACCGGGAATGGGAGCGGGCTGGTAGCACGCAAACAAAGAGAATAGTATACCTTCAAGCTTTTCCTAAATGTTTATTCCAGCTTCCATATTTCTCTTATTAGCCCAATTTGCAAATGGGCAGTCTATCACCTTTGTTAAACTTTCTTTTTCCAAAATCATTCAAACGAAGGGCCTATCCAACGTTTTTGAACACATAGCGAAAAGATGAATAGGAGATAAAGAAGGAGAAAGAAAGTAACATGAGAAAAAATATATAATTACGACGCCTCCCATTCCCTCCTAGTCAATTGCCTTGTAAACTTATATTCCATCAACCGGTGACTAATATCAATTTGTATTTTTATGAAATGTGTATAAAGTAACTGTTTGCTGTCCATCACTGTTCGACGCATATACGATCTCAACTATTTTCGAAAACTCAACTCAAGTGCAATTCAATACCCTATTTATTGTATGTCCAATAAAAATCATGTTCAGATTACGTAATACCTCATTGTCATGTTCACAGATATCAAATGGTGACGCACAATGACATTGAAATTGCGTAAGGTTGATTTTTTCAAAAGAAGTTGCTATCGTTTTCAATGTAAAATACTTTTGATGTATATGATGATGAATATCGAGGCTCTTGGATACCCATAACCAACATTGAAATGAAATGATATACTTGTATATAGTCACTTCACAGAAGTGAATACTGTTTCATTAACATAGCCGAGTGAAGTGTGTGCTATATTGTTAATAAAATCCCAGTACGTCGTGTAAAATTTAGTGATAAAATAATTCTGCACCATACAAGTACAGTCGCTCTAAGATTAGTCTCGCTACCATGATGCTACATTCGTACATCCCCCTCTTCTCAGATTGTTCATTCTTTTATTACATGTCGTTTGGATATGTGTAATTCATTGTATATTGGCTTTCCTCAAAATCAAATAGCCCGTCTGCAACGAGTTCAGAACATGGCAGCTCGGCTCGTCACTCTCCGCAGTAGATCAGACAGTATTTCAGATATATTAAAATCTCTTCATTGGCTATCAGTCTCAAAAAGAATTATGTATAAGCTGTTACTCATTACTTACAAAACACTTTTTTATTCTTCACCCCATTACTTGTATCAGATTTTGAAACCGTACACCCCACAACGGAATTTACGTTCAGGTTCACAGCTCCAGTTATGTACACCCAAAACCAATAACAAATGGGGGGACAGGGCTTTTGCTAACGTTACACCCAAACTATGGAACACTTTACCATTAGAAATAAGACAATCATCATCAGTTGAAATATTTAAGAAGAAACTTAAGCACCATTTGTTTATGTCGTAGTTTTAATATTTTAAAATTATGTCGTAGTTTTTATAGTGTATAATTATGTCGTAGTTTTAATATTGTATAATTATTTTGATGTTGTTCAAGAGCGCCTTGAGCAGTCTTTTAGAATGGATATGTGCGCTTTATAAATTGACATTATTATTATTATTATTATTTTCCCCGTCTCTGCACCTGTCATTTTAACTATCGCCGTTGCTTTACCCCTCCTTGTACCACCGAACCCCCTCATCTTCTAATGCTTTCTTAATTCCCTTCTTTTAATCATTGTGTTTATAGAGCGTAGCAACTTGCTAAATATTAAACGAGCAAGAGGTTGTTGAATTAATGGACGAAAATTTGCTTAATACCTCAGTCACACCGTCAAACCACCTCCACACCAACTCCAAACTTACTTATTTATTTTACCATATGGTAATGTAATATTTTTGTTCGGTTCCTTTTCGGTATGGTGTCGGTCTTGTCGATGTGACTGAGGTATTACTCTTTTCATTAAGTTATTGTGACAATATGGTTTGTTCTTGATAAAGTTTATTCCTCAGATCTTTATTAATGAATTTAAATGTTTGTTGATTGTGTGTACATATATTTAAATATACGCTGTATATATGCATGTACGTACATATACGCTGCATATATACGTATGTATGTGTGTGTGCGAGCGTGTATGTGTGTGTGCATGTGTGTGTGTGTTCAGATATATATATATATGAGAGGGATTACTGGAAAGAGAGGCAGTGGAGGCAACGATTCACGTATTTGGGAAACCAAAAATGAAATCACCAATACCAGCTTTTAAAAAAAATGAATAACAGATGATAGATAGAAAAGGAAGGCCATGTATATAACAGACCTGGCATTTGATGATGATTGAGATGATGATGAGAATAATGGTGCGTAGATCTCACAATTGCCCTTTTATTCCAAAATCTAAAAAAGGGACACTGGTTCGATTCCAGGCGGAAATGTTTTTCGACCCTTTCAAAAGTTTAAAAAGGGAAGACAACAGTGGGGATCTTTGAAAAAGCTGCGCACCATTATTTTCTCATATTCATTTCTTACAATTATGTGGGGTTTTTTCAAAGAGAGTCTCCAAAGTTTTTTGCATTTGTAACATTTCTTTCATTGTGTATACATATATCATTTTCGTTAATTATTGTAAAATTATGATCATGGTAAAGTAGTTTTTGTGAAATGTTTTGTATTTGAGTTTAAATAAATAGTAATTTGGAATGAATTTCAGTTCTCCGGAAAGTATGTTATTTTATTCAACGAAGGAGCTTATTCGATAAAAAAAAATCAGATCAAATAACAATAACAGTCATGCCATTCAATTTGTCATTTGGTATTCTGCGTCATAATGATTAGCCTTGTCTAGCTCATTCCCTTTGTACCATCCTCGAAGCCGCCGGGAGAAAATATGTCAGACATGTGCTTAACTTGATCTTCCTTGCAGATACGTAGACAAAAGATTCCTGCCTAGCTGCAAACGAACGGGCCACTTTCAAAGGAAAATATGCTTTTGTAATGATAATCACTTTTCGCTACCATTACTATGAACATGACGGACAAAGAAAGAGGACAAAATATACAGTTCCTCAGGTAGACAAATGAACATCCCTTCCCTGCCATCATGTGAAAATGTGTAGAATAGGTGTCACATGCATATTCACCTGTTCTACACATTTTTACATAATAGCAGTGAAGGGATGTTCCTTTGTCTACCTGAGGAACTGTATATTTTGTCCTCTTTCTTTGTCCGTCATATTCATAGTGCATTCGTCTGATAATACGAGCAGTACACAGTGCTTACCTTTACAGGAGGCAAGAGAAAGGAAATGGAGCAACATTTCCTGAAATAATAGGGACTTTTAGATTTACACGACGAGAACGCATGGACCACCACGTGTGACATCCTTTTAAGGCACTGCCTGGCACGACCCAGTGCCTTAAAACAATGTCACACGCGGCAGTCCACGCTCTCGTCGTGTAAATCTTAAAGTCTCTATTAATCAAAATTACCCGACTGGGAATCTGTGGGCACTAATCCAACATAATATAACAAAAAGAACTGTACAAGAACAAATTCACTTTCTATTTTAGTGAGCCGGAAGTAGTCGGAAAAGTGTCAAATTGCCGGTTTTAGGATACTAAAATGTTACTATCCTAAAAAGCAGAAAAATTAGAGGAATAGGTCAGTGAAAATTTCGAATCTCCGAAGTTGCGGTCAATCAAACACAAAAATTAATTGGTAACTCTTTGTCATAACCTGCTAGACCCCCTCCGATTCGCTCTGTACTAAAACAAAACAGAAACATAGAAATTTCTCCTTTTTCCGTAAAGAAAACTTCCAGTCATACATGCACCCTAAATATAATCATTGCAAATATGTTTTTATATAACCCCTGTAAGAAATATTTATATTCCTTCATCAATAACTAAGAAAATAAAAGTTTATTACATTGTCTGTACAGAGCATAACCTCGCAAGATACGTCACAGTGTTGCCAATTTGTGTTTCACTGATGAAAACTTCAAAAATTAATCTTTCCTATTTTTCGATCGTTTATTGCTCAAACTTTCACTAATATGTTTCTCTCGTTTTCTGCTTTCAGGGTGAACTTCTCCTTTAATTTATTTCACACACATCCATTGAAAGATTCTTGAACTTTTGAGAAGAATACTTTGTCAACAAACAGCTGGATGAGGAAGCAGGAAACATATATGATAGCATTCTGAGAACAGCAATGAGAAATCAAATACACACATGTATGACTATTAAGCCCCTTTCACACTGGGCCATGCGTAGAGTTGCGTAGTGTCGCATACCGACTACGCCGAGCGTACGCTGGCCAACGTAACTATACAATGAGGGACGCAAAGGGGAACGCGAGACGGACGCACAGAAATTAACATGTTTATTTTTGGGCGTACTTTCGGCGTAGACACTAGACGCAGGAAGTACGCATTTTGTACGCAAGTCTACGCAAAACTACGCTACAGTACGCCGAGCCTACGCAATAGTACGCTACCCTAGGCCAGTCCGACGAAGCTGTTAAAGCTTGCGCATACAGTAATCAACCGTAAGACGCCAGGCCTACGCTTGTTATACGCTATCGTACGCGTAGGTACATTAATTACATACGCCGTAGGTATGCGGTGCCTAAGCACAGGGTACGTAACCATACGCCTTCGTACGCCAGCCTACGCATAACCTACGCAGGGACTACGCCGAAGCAAAAATTTTTATGAATACGCAGCCTAAATTCGGCTTAGTCGGTACGCCACACTGCGCAACTCGACGCAGATCCGGTGTGAAAGGGGCTTTGGAATCGAAAAGTTAATTACGAAGAAAACTGTGTGTAATTCAGAAAGCACATGTCCAAATGGTTATGGGAAGTAAAGTTGTATTATATGGAAAGTAACAATCTCATGGAATTCTTTTTAAAACAGTAAATTGTACGTAATGATGGTTATGACTTTAAAGAAAACTAGATGGAATTCGACTGCACGCAGTCGAAAATGATGCCTCCGTCATAGAGCAATTTTACAAACCGAAACGGAAGAAATTTTTCAAATTCAAGTTCAATTGTAATCCATTAACAGGTTCTCAGAATATCGGGATTACAAGCAATTTCTCATATACATATATGACCCTTTGATCTTTGACCTCATGACCCTAAAATCTACTCAGTTCATTGGCTCTGCAAGATGTCCTGAGTTAAATAGTAATCTATCTGTCAGTTCTAATGAGAATGCGTTCACAAGCTATTTTTGCATACATAATGAGCCCATGACCTTTGATCTTATGAACCAAGAATCTACTCAGTTCATTGGCTCTGCAAGATACATAAATGATCTAAGTTTGGCAGGAATCCATCAATCTGTTCTAATGATAATACGATCACAAGCTATTTTTGCATACATAATGTGCGCTGTGACCTTTGACCTCGTGACCCCAAAGTCTTATCAGTTCTTCGGCTCTGCAAATAACATACATGACCTAAGTTTGGCAGGAATCCATCAATCGGTTCTTCAGATAACGCGATCACGAGCTGTTTTTGCATACATTATGAGCCCTGTGACCTTTGACCTTTGACCTCGTGACCCCAAAATCTAATCAGTTCATTGGCTCTGCAAGATACATACATGACCAAAGTTTGGCAGGAATCCATCAATCGGTTCTTCAGATAACGCGATCACGAGAACGGGACGTAAGTACGCAGTGGCGGATCCAGGGGGGGGGGCCGGGGGGCCGGGGGGCCCAGGCCCCCCCCCCCCCCTTGAGAAAAAAATCATGCAAAATCACGCGATTTTTACCTTTTTTGGGGGTTGGGCCCCCCCTCCCTGGCGCTCAAGGGGGGGGGGGGGTGCAAATTTTAAAATTTTCGAGGACCAAAAAAAAAAAAATTGTGCTCACAATACAATAGGGTATTGAAATTGCCCTCGAGTTGATGTTTCGAAAGTATCTTCATGCGCCATTTTATATCAGAAGTTTCCATGTCAGCTTTCTGATTAGTGCCCTGTTTTGTTTGACAAGCTTCATGTATAAAAATGAAATCAAACGATTACACATCACCTAAAATATAATGTGAAGATTGAAATAATGAAATCATCGGATACTGATTTATGGTAGATAGATAGATAAATAGTTTATTTTTTATTTTTTTAATTATCACTGCGGCTAAGCCGATTTGCGATGATTTTACAGAGTGCATGAGAAAAAAGGCTATCAGCATTGATAAATATAAACCATAGCAATCAACAAATAACATTTTGTATTGTGCTATCTCAACTAATATGACATTTGATTTGATATTATACATGACAATGTTAAAAGATATATACAGACATAATAAAGCAGTATTCTACATTCTATAAACTTAGATCTGTTATTGGAATTGGATTTATGATTGAGTTTAATTAGTCAGTGCTATTATATACATATACAAATATTAGTAATTCTGTTTAATAATCTTTTTTAACTTTCATTTATTTATTTTAATTGTTCTGCTACTTATCAAGTGCATACAATTTTAACTGAAAACATTAATTGACCATTATTTAGAACTGAAACTGATAAATGTTGTTTATTTCAATCGTACATATATAAATGTATAGATAAAAACTAACACAAGTAGCAATAAACATCCAATGATTCGAGCAAACTAAATAAAGTTATCATCAATTTTAATAAATCGGTTGTACAGTATAGACATGTACAAAGCTTTAAAGATTATCGATGTATACATTGACAATAATATATATATATATATATATATATATATATAACTTTTCGAAATAAGTTTGCAATTAATCAATATAGAAAGAAAACAAAAATTCTTCAAATGCGTAATAACGATAATTTACGTATTCATTGTTCCGGATATAAGTACATAAGCTGCGGCCTTCAGCATTAGAAAAGAAAATGTTATTGTTTTCTAAGGGTTCACGAGGCCAGTGCACACAACCACAATGCATGATGCTGAAATACGAGAAGACAGAAACATTAAGTTGTCTTTGAAAATATAATAATACATTAACTAAATTAAAGGGGTATGAACCATAATCATGTCTCTTTCGTTGGTGTCCCATTTAGAAAGATGCTCCTTCGCCATTCTTCATTGGAATGATAATCCGTTCGAATAAGAATATTTTAGCATAAACTATAATATATATTGTAAATTGACCTTTGCTTTTTCATGTATGCCTTCATAAGCAGAAAAACCAGTACACCGATTTCTCTTTAATCAAGTTAATCATATCATTTGATTTGATTTGATTTTCTTCTGCATTCACGTAAGTTTACAGTTTTTCGATAACAATAATATAAAGTACAATAAGTATTTTACTGACAATGAATCATAAATTAGAATATACATATACATGTATATATATATATATATATATATATATATATAAAATATATATATAAACTGTTATTTTCAAAAAACGAAATGATTAACTCTCACAGATACTAATTTTCCTCAAACATTATAACACATTATAAAATTATTTGCGGAAGAAGGACTGTGATTGTAAGCAGATTGCTTGATAATACGACATTATTGACGACAAACTTGTCAAATCAAACACGGCAGGTTACCAGCGTTACACGCATGTCCTCATACAGGATGATGTAATTCATTGCTATAGTCTAACTTTGACATTCCACAGCTACTAATGGAGACAGGAGAATAACTAAAAGTCGCTGGGATTAAAATAAAAGGCTACTATAATATCAAAATAAAACAAACTGCACAAATCTTGGTTACAAAAGTATTAAGGTAAAATGACATAACTATATAAATGATGTTGTTGAACCGATCTTTTGATAGCAAACTGTATATACGTATGCATATAGGTGAACAGCATTATAAAGCAACATAGACATTACAAAACTGATGAAGATTTGATTCTAGACTAATATTGTTGAAGGGAAGTATTATAAATCGATTGTAGTATGGCGTTTCATTTCAAGTATAAAAATCACACAGCATTTTATCTAAATTTACCTTGTAAAATGAGATTTACTACTTTGCGTGTAACATGAGCGCATTCAATTAAATTATAACGAGTATACAGTTAACTTCGTGTAAATGGAAAACAAAAATTAAGTAAAACGTTCAAAATAGACAGATAACAATTAGATTCTATGTTGACCGTCTCAAAAATAAAGATTCAAAGAACTTAGGTCGTAGAAAATCTCTTTTAAAAAAAAAACAAAGTTAATGATAACCACCTCTTTTATCTGCATATGAAGGGTTTTGAGGTGTAAGTTCAGGTGTTAGGTGCAAAATACGTTTTACGACATACAAAACATTCAAATAAAATTCGACATTATAATTCAATCGCCTTCTTTAACACATCTACATACAGTTGTATGCTACGGTTCATCCATGGAGTTACTAGCCTAGTAACTTCATGGATCACCAAACACATAAGCAGCATTAGTGTGATCATTATCCGACCTCCTTGCATTCTTAGGTGCGCGACGCCCACACATTACACCGAGTATAATGGAAACAGCGAGTACGATGAGGAGTGCAACGCATGATAATGAAATGATAGCCCATATTGGTAGTGCTACTCCAGGTGATTGTGTGGATGGTGGTTCCGATGTCGAGTTCAGAATGGTAGTCGGCATGGTAGTCGGGGGTAGGGAACGTCTTGAGACAGATACGATGTTCGATAATGGACCTGCGTTGCCAGCCTCATCCCAGGCTCTTATCATGAATGAAAAGATAGCCTCTGAGTCCTCACCAGGCAGAAGAATAGTGATGGACTCGAGAGTACCAGATGAAGCGACTCGGGAGAGGTTACCAAGTATGAGATCGGTATCGTTAACAGCAGGAGCGGATGTAAAGTTGGTACGGATTTGGGTGAAGTTATCTGAGAAACGGAGCTCGTAGTAGGCAGCTACAGTGTAGAGACGAAATAATAAAAGATCAAACCAAATGTCAAAATGTCAAAAACACTTCTTAATGCAAGGTAGATACTTAATTAAACTATTATGCTTTTGCCATGATTGCTTTCTACACCAACGTAAAACTACACTACTTCACTTATGTTCGAGTGCCAACAGAACAAAAAGTCCAAAAGAATTGTACAATCAAATCATTGTTCACCCTTAACTCTTTGTATGTAAAATAACATGAGTAGCGAACAAAATCGGCTAACTTAATGAAAGACAGCATACACCTGTAGGTAAATTTGACATTACGTAGTCCTAATTTTTTCCTTGTATCCTTGCTCGTTGGAAACATCAGCCAAACTGTTAGCAAAAAGTGCCGACACCCCTCCACTTTCTACCAGCTATGCCCCTGCTGATCAAGATAGGGGTATTTTACCTGTTCCTTGGTCTAAATCATCCCCTACAGCCGACCATGATAACGTCACATTTCTGTTCGCATCGTAAGTCCTCTCCCTGCTAGTGATATCAGCGATCTTAGATGGTGCGAGGATGTCAAAAATTAGATCAGGAGAGTAGTTTTCGACTTGAAAGACACCCGCTGTAGTCGTTCGCTGGAACAAAAGCGACGGGGCGGGAGGGGTTAGTGTTCCCACTTCTCGTTTTAATCGCAGAGTATCTAGAACAAGAATGGCAACAAAGAGTAAAGAGTTGACAAAAAAATTGAACATGGTAACCAATTTTTAATGTAATTCAAGATTTACAGGTTTCCTTTACTATATAATTGTGCAATCATACAGTTCTATTCAAGACAACTGGCATAATGATATACAACTGCATGTCTCTCAATTCCCCTCCCGATGGTATTTGATTTCTTCGAGAGGATTTACATTCAAACAGTTTCTTTTTCGTTTTGTTTATTTATTTAAATACGGTGATAAAAAACGTGCTTTCAGCTGGGCATAGCTGTTTTTCAGCATGTCCGTACATGGTACATTAAAATACATATGAATAAACAAGTTTCTGCAGTCTACAGTCTACAGTCCAACAAATCCAACCAGTTTATCAGGACCACTGCCAGGAGGAGGAGGAGGGGGGGGGGGTGTACCGAAATGTGGCCGCTGCCGACAGGTGGCCCTTTAAAGTTCTTTAAACGCTACAAGTTCTAGACGGGGAGCCAATAATGAAGGTGGCCACTTGAGACAGGTGGTCTTGGAAGATAGATGGCCGCTAAGTCTACACAATGGTAGGTACATGAATATTACAAAACTCACTGTGTGACGATGTGGCGGTGTTTCCGTTTACATCTACCTTGACACCATATCGTCCATTCGATGAGAAGTCAAGGAAATAAGCCGAGTAAATACCATCACCTGAGATTAAATCAGCTCCTGAATAAAGTACACAACAGAAAAATACATGAATTTGATTATGTCACTTATCAATACACATGCTTTTCTTTTTTCGAACCTAAATTGGTTGATATAAGCCCACCTCCCCCTCACACACACACGCACACGTTCGTTTCTCTCCTATTAAAGGGGAGTTCATGTTTCAATCGCTGACGCTTCCTCTCTCCTAGCGACCCCTCGCTCTCTCTTTCTCTCTCTCTCTTCCTACTATATTAGTTATCTATTCTCTCTCTCTCTCTTTCTCTTCCTCTTTCTCTTCCCCTTTCTCCTCGCTATCTCTACCTTATGACAAAAGACTCAATGTTGTGTATAATAAGATTCACTCAAAAGTTGATATCATATCTGTAACATTCCTGTTTATAGCGGTACACCGCTTGCTGTGAAGATTAAGGCCCGAATTCACAAAGCAAGGTTTGAGCTCAAACCTTGGTCTGAGCTCAAACCTTGCTTTGTGAATTCGGGCCTAAATGTTTTGATTTCGGATTTATCCCAATGGTTTCTGATAAATAACAGCTTTTCTTTAAAAAAAGTAACCTAAGATTTCTTGTAACATATTGTTATTTCTTTCTAACCTAGTCCGTTATCACGTAGCGAAATGGTTGTCACATCCCCTGTTGTCGAGCTGACTACTTCAGCAATCACTGTAGCGTCGATGACGGGTTCGTAGTTGATATGGACATAGGCATAGACCTCTAACAGGGGAGCAGTGGTGTAGTTTACTATCTGAAAGGAGTGGGTAACAGATTAACAGAAAAAAGTTATACTTTTGCACAATTACAACCATGTACATAGATTCTAGATGCTGCATGAATACATAATTATGAAGATATTGTATAACGGTTTACACAGATTACTAGTTCTTGATATGCCACTGCTAATAAGCTCAAAGAGAATACTGTACACTGCGAAAGAGTATAATGAACAAAATGGCGGCTCATTCTTCAATGCATATGGATGCCTGTGCAACTGTGTCCTATAATGTGTTATTGGAAAGATAAGAAGAAGAAAAATGTGATATAGAAAAAGAAAGAGGGATGTATGAGAAATAGATGGGTATGTAAAGGGAAGGAAAATGGTGAATGAAAAAGAAAGAAAGGGTAGGGGAAGGGAGAGAGAGGGAGAAAGAGATATATACAACACACACACACAGTGAGAGAGGGAGGGAGACAGAGAGAGAGAGGGGGCACATAAAAAGATAGAGAAAGAAGGAGAGAGAGGAAAACACGCAGTGCGAGAGGGAGACAGAGAGAGGCGCAAAGAACGAGAAACATATGGGAATGAGACAGATAGACAGAATAAATGATTGGGAACAAGATTTATAACGTACCGATGTCCCTAAGAAGCTATTTACGACTGGAGGGTAAACATCTTCAGAACGAGGTTTAGAAATCACGTTCACGCTAACGTATTCCATAAGACTGTTACCGTCGTTACTGAGTTCAATGCTCCAAACACCTGCCTAAATTAGATTTGAACAAAGGTCACACATATAAAAAGAATGTTAGCATTGTATTGAATACGATTTTAAAATGAATATTAATAAGACGTTTGTTGACGAAAGTAAAAGGCTTTATATTAAAATGATAAGATAATATTGTTTTTTCCTGTCTTAAAGGGAAAGCTGAGTTTTGGTAAAGAGGGCGCTAAAAAAAAAAAGGGGGGGGAAGAGGGGGCTAAACACAAAAAAAAATATTTGAGATAATGAAAAACTGGGTGTCAAATTTGAAAGAGAATACAATTTTAATGACAAAAATCATCTTTGTTTGATGAAAATCGGTTCAGAGAGGGCTGAAATATCCTTAAATATTCGATAATTTGAACCAGCCATTGAAAAAACGAGATAGCGCCATTTACGTTTTAGGTGTTGGTTATAATGCGCACAACCAGCCGGCCCGTTTCCTTTGGTGGTGGTTGAAAATGTACAGCGAATCGTCAACATGTGTTAATCAAACAAACACATGAAAGCACAAGAGACCAATCGCTATCTAAAGTCAAGAGAGGTACCATAATGAAATAATGGAATTAACAATTTATTTTAAGTTATTATACCTCTGCCTCTTCGATGGTAACGGTAATAATTTTAGAGCTGATATCAGCCTCATATCTTGCATCAGTGCTGTCTATAACGGTACCATCCGGTCCTGTGACTGTGACGGAGATGATGGGGTTGACCATCCACGTAATTGTCATGACCGTGTTCAGTCCTAGAGAAGCGTCGATCACTACATCGGTAGTGTGGGTCGAACTAGTGTGGATCGAACTAGGGGCTAGTGCATCTAGTGTAATCGTTGAACTCTGAACCTGTAACATGTGTAATGTGGATGGTAGGCTAGTAAAGCAAAAATACAGTATCTTATTTTGTTCCCCATAAAGGATTAATAGATCATTTCTATTACTTTAGGAAAACACCTCGTTTAAACATTCCGAGTATGTATAAAAGTCACAAAAGAATTATACGTAAAAATGAAATGTACAAATATAAGCCTTTATTGTGTAAACCAAAACCAAAAATCAGAAGAAAATTCAAATGAGGTTGTAAGGTTTAATCTGTTCTTATTCAAGCATATGCTGAGCCAGGCGCGTACGCAGGGGGGGGGGGGGGTTAAACCTCCCCCCTTGAGTTTTTTATCTGTATGTTTTGTGTATGTTTTTTTTGGAACCCCCCCCCTTTAGATTTTTTTTTTTTTTTTAAATTGAAAAAAAAAGGTGACCTTACCCCCCCCCCAACGGAACAAAATGTCAAATTTTCAAATTTCGAGACCCCCCCCCAAAAAAAAAAATATATATCCTCTTACCCCCCCCCCCCCCCCCCCCCCCCCCCCCCCCCCGCTTATTCAGCGGCTGGCTGAGTCGTTGCGATTTTTGTTGGGACTCCAAAAAAAAAAAAAAAAAAAAAAGGGTCCGCTTACCCCCCCCCCCCCCCCCCCCCCGCTTATTCAGGGGCTGGCTGAGTCGTTGCGAAATTTTGGGCCCGATTTTAACCCCCCCCCCCCTTGAAAAAAATCCTGCGTACGCCACTGTGCTGACCTGTATTGGTGCAGAAGTGGCAACACTCTGTGGCCTTTGCGCTATGATTGACTCAAAGGCGGAGATGATACATTGTGCGCTCCCTCCGTCAGCACACGTTGCCGATATACCGCCTGTCATCTGGGCTAGGTCTTCCAACTGGGTGTCAGCTTCGTAAAAGGCGATTGAATGCACAATAACCCCTGAACCTTCGATGTCATCTAGGGTGTCAGCTATTAGAGTTCCACTATTCTCCTGTCCGTCGCTGAGAAGAATGAGATACACACCTCGGGAATCCATGCCGTTGTATTGGGCAACCTATGATCATGAAGCCATAATTCAAATATTGCAAAATGATCTTTGCTTGTATTTTCGATAAAAGGCTTTACTCTTGTTGTAATAAAGAAGGGCTCAGCAGGGACGACATTGAATGAAATTAGGGTTATACAGGGTGGCCCAAAAGAACACAACACCCCAGGGGCCCGTTGAACAAAACTTACCATTGATGATAACTTTGCCATCAATGGTAACTACCATGGAAACCTTGATTTTGATTGGCTGTTGAGCCCTGTTACCATGGTAGTTGCCATTGATGGCAAAGTTACCATCAATGGTAAGTTTTATGCAACGGGCCCCAGATCTGTATTGTCAACGACAGATCTCAGGTTCGCTTTCTTTGGTTACCATCCTGTATAAAACAGCCAGCAAGGATTGACATTTAACCCGGCACGACAGGGCAGACCATGCAAACGCTCTCCCACAACCGGACCTCGCCCTTACCAAAAATTTCAGACATGGCAGCAGATACGATTCACATGGAGGATTTGATGACATTACCAATCAAACTCGCCAATCGGTCAGCAATTAGAAAGTTATGAATTTTCAAAAGTTGTTTTTACAATACAAATGATGTCACCATGGTGGAATATGGAACAACTTTACTGATGATTCCGACAAAATTATTCAGTGTCTTTTTTAATGTGCATTACTTGGTGGAATCTTTTCGTTTATGCTCTCTATAACACACTTGAGTACTGCATGCCCCAAACAGAGAAAATCATTTAGGACGGGAAAGGGGGTGGGCGGAATTAACGACAGTGTCCTTAGTGTATAACAAAAGGAATAATTTGTAGATCTCAATACAAAATCGTAAACACCGACCTTTCAATTGTTTAGCTAGGAGAGATTTGTTCATAAAAACATCACCAACGATTGACTGAATAGACAGTTTAAGATGTGCATAGATTTAGTCATCTCCTCTATCAACTCTTGCTATCCTATTTCTCATATTTTCTGCCGATATACAAATGATCTGATAGCAAAGGTTGTTTTGCCCTTGAAAGCACATGATATTAAGCCCGTATCAGGACAATTACCCCCTGGACAATCAACCCGGAAAACTAACCCCAAAGGACAATAACCCCCCGGAAAATACCCCCCCCCCCCCGAGGACAATTACACCCTTGAAAATTACCCCGAGAACAATCAACGCCCCCCCCCCCCCGAAACTTAAACTCCCCCTGCACATTAAAGGGGTGTACCCTGATGATAAGATAGTTTAAATAAAAGCAGAATTTTTTTCGGGGGGTAATTGTCCTGGGGGGGATGATCGTCCAATGGGGTAATTTCCAGGAAAATTAGTTTTTTTTTCGAGGGGATGGGGCACGCATGTCAATAAATATATATCTGGAAAAATGATTTCCTTTCCAAAATATATCGACAACCGTACCCTGCCCCTATGAGCCAATTACGGTCTGCTTTCTCCATTGTTCAGAATACATTTAGGCTTTTTTGCTTAGGTTAGGCCATTAAACGTTTTCCTAAGGTATAGATCACAATATTACTACAGTTTCTTACCTGGATAGCTGTCTGAATACCGCAACCAATACATGTAGCTCCATCGGCATATGTTGGAAGTAGAGACGCCAAGTCTTTCCTCGATATGGCACTGGTGAGTTCAGTCATGTTAGAATCCACTATGGCTCCGTAATTGAACTCGACAATGGCCACGTAACTATTAGGTACTATACTCTGGATGAAGTTCTTGGCCCCTATAATCATCTTGTCAAAACGCTCCCCCTATTTAGAAAGCAGAGGAACAGGCACCGTAATGATACAGACCACGAGTAGAGGCAGCGAATAAATAAAACACTGTCTACGCAAACATTCAGAGAGATTGACGGCAGGTTTAATTAGAGGAAGAAAATGAATGAATTGTAGAGATTGATGGAGTTAGTGTCAAATTATCGTATGGCAATATCATTCTAATCTTAATCAGTATCATAATTATGAAGTCGCGACTTAACAAGACAATTATAAGTACAACTTTAATATGGTATTACACTATTTACAACTGACAAATAGAAATTTGAACTCAATATAAATTAATTATGTAAATATGGACAAAGCATCGTGTTTAGAAGTATTTTAGAGTAAGTTGGTGATATGAAACCACACTCTTGTTACAAGTTTAAGTTGCAAAAGCATAATCTTTGATTGTGTTCATTGGATGCAATCAAATATAGTTTAAGTTCAAACTTCATTTTTATGTATTGTTTTAATCGTTTTAATTCCCTGACGGATGACTTAAAGCCGTCGCATATGTGACAACCCTACTCCAAATAACTACATTGTATAAGATATAATAATAATAATTATCTTCATTTATATAGGGCTCTTACACAATTGATTTCACAGCGCTTCTCATGGAATAAGGGTGGGAAAATCAATTAAATCAATACGTCTTCAAGGGCTTCTTAAGGGTATTGAATCCACGGTCTGTAAACCCATATTCATTTGAACTATTCCTGATTGGGGTATCTCAATAGTCATACTAACTACGACATTGAGGTGCATGGTAACATTCCAGTCAGAAAAAAGACACAAGCTGACTTTGATCGGGGGCGCTGTAACACGAGAGCCACATTGGTTAGGAGAGTTTGGCCAACCCGGTTCAAGTTGGGCATGATCTGGCGAATATATATATATATATTTATATACGCCATGTTGTGACCAAGTAAGACTAATTTGCTCAAACTCTGTGTATAAATGGCTCGATTGTTCTGCACCATCGTGTCTTTTCTCCCAATTATGCAAAGTGATTATTACTAGCCTAAAGATATGAACACTTACATCCATAGAACCACTGGTATCTAAAACAAGAACAATCCTCAGAGATCCGGACGGCTGCACGACAATAAAGTTTGGTGATATGTCGGTATCCTCTGGCAAGGAAGGACTGTTTCCATACAGAAAATCAGTCGATTTCCGCATCACTTCCCAAACGCTTTGATAGTCGCACTTCTTATTCTGTAGGTTAGGAGCCTCGTAATTATGATACCCCGCCTGGCCTGGGACGTTGTGGCAGAACATGTCGATCTGTGCATTTAGAAGGGTGAGAAGAAGTGGGACAATTTCATGATAAAACCCTCGAAAAGGTATGGAAACTCACGTATGATCAATAATATAATATTAATCCTACATTTCTTACAATTTTTGCAGCCATGGAAAGATTGCAAAATTCACTAGTAAGCTATGGCTTTGTTATGCAATGCACTCCAACAGCCCTACACTCTTCAAAGAAAGGAGGATGCAGAGCCCAACAAGAGCAATTCATTTTGCAACTTTTTCCTTTTGACCTTACCCCTTATGTTGATGTTATGCCAGTCCATGACTTAACATCGTAACAACTGGGGTATCATTTTAAATAAAAATAAAGACACCTTCTAATGATACTCAACGTCAATTTTAACTGTTAACCAATTTATATAACACATTGACCTTACCATATCTTTCATATCGTAATATACAGTGCGTCCAAGAAAAAACGAAACCGAAAATTATCGATGTTTTATCATAATTTAATCACAATTATACTAAGTATTATGACACATATTTGTAAAGTTTGGATCCTCCTTTTTCATTTGATGCAACTCATATGATGCATATTCCACGCATGAGTGATTAAAAACAATTTTAAGAGAGGGCATCAAAAAGTCATTTGGCGGACGGTGAGCCAGGAATAACCAAGTTTAAAGTAATGCTTGCAGTTCCATAATTTGATTAAACGAATTCGTTTTGAATGACTGCCTGCCGTAGCAACAAACAGAGTTGACAAAAGACTTAACTCTGTTTCGTTGACGATCAGCCATGCACAAAGAAGACGAAAGACTTGATGGGGGAAATTCTTAATAAACAAGCTATTATTATGTATTACAAAAAGATCTCTGCGTGCAATTACCAACTTTCATCCCAGAACACCAAGTGATCCTTTTTTTTTCTTTTAACGTTACTATACACCACCTGAAATATTTATGCCCTAATTAGTGAGCTACAGTCTGATGTCCTGATAACAACTATTAAAGATAAAACCACAATTCTACGTTTTCTTTGCGAGTTTTCGGGCTCAGATTTGGTTCTCTAGATTTGGTAATAAAAAGTTAAATGCAGTACTAAGAGTAAAGATCTCTTCACAAATGAAAGGGCCATTCTAACCAAAACGGGCAAAAGAAAAATGAAAAAAAGACATGTAGAATAGATTTTGACGGAGATTCCGAACATGACAATGATTTTTATTAGAAATCATGAAAAATTCTGGAATCTAGCTGTAAAAATGACGACTCAGAACGGCAGAAAAAAGCCCAGTTTCGTTGATGACGCATTTGACGTCACTGCAGGCGCCTCTCCGGTGAAAGGGAGGGTGATTTACGCATGAAATGTCAAACTAATGTCAAATGAAACGGGCAAACTATGATATTAATTGAAGAAAAAAAATGACATTTATCCAAAAAAATAAAATGCACTTGATAATCCCAGTACGCTTCTGGCAATTTCGTCATTCCTAATAATTAAATTATCAAATTATCAAATCGGACATGCCCGCAATGATGTCAAATGCGTCATCAAGCCATGTGACCGTATTACCTTTTTCGAGGGGCGTAGCCTAGGAAGCGTGAGGACTGTGAAAATGGATGGCTATTATCGTTTTTTTGTCAATTAAGAGATTTTCTTAAAAATCAGAGGCTGAAATATGAATAAGTAGAGGTGTATTCATGTTTTGAAAAGCTATGTTTATAATTGGGTTAGAGTGGCCCTTGAAGGATGGCCGAGGTTCTTATCTGAACATTTCAAAAGGATTCTCTGATCTAAAAATTGCCTGAAATGTCGACCTCAAGGTTTATTCATCCTCTCAGAGATCCCTCATTTGCGCAGTGCAAATATTTGACAATGCAACTTATTTTTAACTTCCTTTTTCTAAAATCAGTCAAACAAAGGGACTTTATAATGAGCATAACTCCAGACGGGAAAGCCCCTCAAATTGCCATATTTTATTATTCATACCTATTTAGAATATAATAACAAGAACAATAATGGGTTCTTGTATAGCGCTCATGTCTGTCAGACTTTACACTCCTGACGCCCCCACAATATGCCTATTCACTTCAATTTTATGGTTCGATATATGGCTTTAGCATTTATTTGCACAGAGAGAGAGAGAAAAAAATGCTTGTATAAGCATAACATCTCAACGTAACGGTTTGTGTAAATATACGTAGCTTTAATTTATTGCTGTTGCTTATTCTACAAGCATTAAATCTTACCGAGTAAATGTTGGATACAAACAATAACGATGCCCTGGCAGTTTGCCCAGAGTCATCGGGCACGAATCTACAAAGTGGGGGTAAATCCCCGAAATTATCTGGACGACATTCCTCCCCAGCAACTCCATCAATGAGGAGTTTTCCAAGAACTTCCGAAGAACATCTTGTTCCTTCAAAGCCGTCACTTGTTATGGCGTTCGATTGGTAGTAAGGTTCAGCATCGGTCCCTGGCACGTAATCTTCGTCAAACACACCCCAACGGAGTTTGGCAAACTGTCGGGCAATCACTTTACCTTCATCGAACAAATCAAAATCATACAATTATATCATATAATTATATGAAATTATGCATGGAAATGAATGAAGCATACATGCTTAGAAATAAATGTCTGAAATTGCATTTAATACATATTTCCCACTAATATAACAAAGATATTCAGCCAAGTACAATTTTATAGTCTTGGGCGTCACCTGTTGAGCAAGAGAATATGAGCCGTATTTTAGAAGAATATGATATAATTATATAGGCAATACAATATAGTTAGATTGAAATTGGTTCTTCCCTTGAAAGTGATGGAATTGGAATATCCTCATTTCCTGCAAAGTAGGGGATCTATATATATTCTATTCTAAGAATAAAGCTGGGTATGTTGAAGACTTGGAAGTTTATGATTATGTGGCTTCTATCCCATTTTTTTATCAAACATTCCCAGGTTAACATTTAACGTTCAGGATTATAATTCCATCATCTCATACCCGTCCTCTATTGTGTTTGTGCGTATTATAATGAAAGAGAGAAAAAACTAAGTAGTTGTCAAACTTGAAAAACTAAATTTCGGTGGAACTGTTCGTCTTACCAGAATCTCCAAATTGATTTTCGGGTAAACCTTGGTCGATGAGGAAAGTCTTGGATAAATGCATAAATCTTCCTTGTCGTCCACAATTGAATGGGTTATCAACAAAGGACGATGATAAGACTGTTGATTAGTTACGAGAACGTTAGCATTCTCATAGGCTTCACGTTGTGCAACTTGATACTCAGAGTTTCTGGACCAAGTGGGCGGGACTAAGATCGTGATAGTCCCAAAGTAGACCCGGCGATTGGTGGCGGAGAAAAGGACAGAAGACCCGGCCCTGAAGATATCCTGTGTTTATAAGACAAAACATCAATACTTTCTGGTTAGCTGGATATCAAATTATAAAACAGCTAGGTTACCATTTGAAATAGTAAGCCATCATTTTGACCGTACCCTTAAAATCCGAATCAGGTTTGTCTCAACGTGTGATCACTTGGGGTGTGACTGGGATATTACTCTTTTCATGAAGTTATTGTGAAAATATGGTTTGTTCTTGATGAAGTTTATGCCTCAGATCTTTATTAATGAATTAAAATGTTTGTTGGTTGTGCGTACATATATTTACATATACGCTGCATAATATACGTATGCGTGTGTGTGTGTGTGTGCGCGCGCGCGCGCGTGTGTGTGTGTGTGTGTGTGTGTGTGTGTGTATGTGTATGTTTACATGATTTTCACAATGATTTATACTTAATAGATCTAGATTATAGTATACATTCTCAGATTTTTTTGAATAATAATTTACAAGTGTTTGTTTTGCGTGACTGCTAAAGCATGTGTATGCTACTATGCTTCTTATTGGTTATTAACTAGGGGAACTACGTCCTTTAGTCATAACTGACAGTAATGAGGATTATTGATAATTTATCGCATTTTCTTATTTTTTTATTTTTCATTTGTGGGGGCTGACCCCTTCCCTAGCTCCCGCTGCTTACAGTCATGATTCGGTGGGTAAGCATTGGCCTCGTAACTGTGAGGTCCCAGGATCAAAACCATGTCGATGTAGTTTAGTGCCCTTTTGTGAGGCATTAATCCTTATTACTGCCAGTTATGACTCAAGGACGTGGGCCCGGCCCCCCCCCCCCCCTCAGTGTAATTTAGGGTACGCATATGCGTGTTCCAACCGACCCCCCCCCCCCTTTTCAGCAAAAGTCCGGTGTGTAAAGTCAATACGGCTCGACCTTTTTCTTTTGTATACGAGCCTTTTTCCGCACCCCCCCCCCCCCCCTTTTCAGCAAAAGTCCGGTGTGTAAAGTCAATACGGCTCGACCTTTTTCTTTTGTTACGAAAAGGACATTTTGGCAACACGCATGCGGTCATTTTGAAACCTGAGTGGGGGGGGGGGGGGGGCCGGGGACGTGGGTCTCCTAGTTGATAAGCATAAGTAGCATACACATGCTTTAGCAGTCACGCAAAACAAACACTCGCAAATTATTATTTAATAAAATCTGAGAATGTAAACTATAATCTAGATCTATTAGGAATAATCATTGTCAAATCATTCCATAAATTGGAGTAAACAAACTTATTCCATCTTTATGACCAACAGTGTATATGAGAGAGATTGCTGGAAAGAGAAGCAGGGAAGGCAAGCCGCAACGAGTCACATATTTGCCAAATCCTGAACAAATGGGAAACTAAAGAAATCAGCAATACCGGCCTCTCCGGTTTTCTGGAAAGTATGTTATTTAATTAAACGGTGGAGCTTATTCGACGAAATAAAATCAGATCAAATAAAAATAAAAGTCATGCCATTCATTGAAGATTCTATTTGTCATTTGGTATTCTGCGTCATGATGATGAGCCTTGTTACATCAATGTCTGTGTGGTTACAAAGCAACTCCAGCAACAGATTTTAAGGTTTTAAGTCCAGGCTAGGTTACCAACCACCAAACAACTTTGAAATCTGTTATTTTCTATTTGTTTCTACCCCGATTAATTGAATAAATGAATCGGGATGGATTAGGGAGACGGTTTGGTTGATATATCATCGTACAAGTAGGATGTGACCCCCCCCCCCCCACACACACACACACTCACACACGTACCCTCTTGGCACCCCAAGAAAAAAAATCCTACCTTGATATTTTCAATGATAATTGAATCTTCTTCGACATCTTTGTGTATAGCGATGAGTATGTTGTTATAAGCTCCATTCTCTAGCTCGATTGGATTAGTATCCTGTTGTGCCTTGCAGATCTTGGTTCCCATCAGGCAGACCAAGAGATAAAACGACAAACTGGGGCGTTCGACCAGCATTGCTTAGCAGCTTTTTGATGTCGAATAAAGTAGAGTATCTTAATACAAAGTGTACATTAAAAAATCAGAAGCTATAGTGCTTGTCTTATATTTACACAAATTGTTTAATCACTGTGATCAATCAATGTTGGAGTCACTTATCTGTTTTAGACCTCTACAATCTCTAAGATGATTTGAAGAAATGAATCAAGATGATGATATTTCTTTCGCAGATCAACACGAAGTATAAGACAAGATATGTCAAGCTGAACGTTTATAGATTGGCGATAAAAACATCTTTAACAATGCTCTGCGGAACTAAAAGTGCACGTGCGTGTCGTTATCATTGCAGATGGTTTTTTAATGAGGATAAGTTCCCCTTAGTTATTCGTGTGTCGCAATAGCTCGATCATTACCTTCGCGTGGCCCTATAAAACTGAAGTTACTGTCGCCCACAGTGGTGGATCAAGGGGGCGGGGTAAAAACAGGTAAAACACGTTTATTTTACTTTTATTGGAGACGGGCCCCCTCCCCTGGTGCTCAAGAGAGGGGTGCAATTTTCAAATTTTCCAGGGCCTTTAAAAAAAAAATAGTGTTCACTACCCCCCCCCCCCCCCCCCCCCCCCCTCTGAGCGAATTATCGGCCTGCGCAATTTTCTTTTTTTTGGGGGGGGGGGCAAAAAACAAAGTGCTCCTTTCCCCCCCTTCCCCGCTTATTTACCGGCTGGCCTTTTCGCCGTTAAATATTTGCTCACGAATTGGTACCCCTCTTTGGCCCCCTCCCCTGCCGCCGACTGGATCCGCCCATCCCTGCTTTTGTTGTTAGTGAACCATGAACAATTAGCAGAACAGCTTTGTGAATGTGATGTATAATAGCGCAGTTTCAGCTTGGGTTATCTACGGTAGCTTAAAAGTGCCACCGAGATGACGAGATAATTCCTCGTCTTCTCGGCTTTTTTGGTCCGAGAAGGCGAAAAGGCGTGATCCGGTGTGACCGCGCCGTTTGTCCTACCAGTTTCGTTTGTCCGTCAGACATAATATGCGGGTTTTCTGCTCGCACGGATCGTCCGAGGGACGATCCGTGCGGTTTGATATCCGCACAGTCTGTCCTCACGTTGTTGTATGTGTATATTTGATAAAAGGAAGCAAATCGGCAAATCAATGTATTTAGACTCATTGTAAATCATATGGTTGACATTTTTTTCTAGAAATTACATAATAATAACTCTCTTCAATTTTTTTTTAATGCAAATGGGCCAGTCCTTTTGAAAGTAGAAGTGAATATTTTCTTTAAAACCTTTATTCTATGAAGGCATACTCGTGATATCGGCCCCACAACTGTTGTAATCGATTATACTTTTGTACGTGGCTTCGTACTTCAACCAACTCACTACTGATACTCGTGATCCAGGCCCCGCCCCAAGTATTTGGGGCGTTTCGAGGTTTAATGAAGGAGTTAAATGGAAATAAAAGTGATTAAAAATGGGGTTGAAAGTGAGTGGGGGAGGCTAGAGTCCTTAAGATAAGGTAGAGCGTAGCACAAATGGGCGGATGCTCAGGGGGTAGGGGCATTTAATTACGGTCAGATGAGCATATTTTAATACCTTATTCATGTCACTGGCAGGTCACTAATTGGCGTATGGTCCAAGGGGCGGAGCCCCCAGAAGCGCAGAGGTTTTAGGCATTGAAATTAAGGTCAGATGAGCATCCAGGGGCCAGTCTTAGGGCCCAAGGTGGGGGCAACATCTGTAAATCACTGGTATCGAATTAGAACAAAAAATCACTTTTAAGGTTTATTTTGGTTGGGGGGGGGGGGGGGGGGGCGGGGTAGCAACTGGCTGAATACTTACACCTATGGTGTCGAGGGGCTCTTTCTTCATTTTTTTGTTCGGTAATAAATAAGTTTAGTTTATGTGGGTGTCACTCAGGCGCGGGGGGGGGCGACGGACCCGCCCCCCGCCCCCTCTTTGAAAAAAAAAAGAAAGGAAAGGAACGAAAAAGAATGGAAAGGAAAAAGTAAAGAAAGAAGGGCTAAAAACTCGAGTTAGAAGTGGACCCATCAGGGCACTCACTTATCCGTATCAGGGGCTCGGGGTGAATTAGCCCCCGAAATGCCAAAAAGAGCCCCCGAAAGTCATAAAAGTAGCTCCCGAAATTTTGGAAGTATTTTTTTTCCCTGATCCGTATATAGGACAAGGCCCTGGGGCAGCTAGCCATACTTTGAGTCATTTTCCGGTCAGAACTAGCCATAACTATCATTCCAGGATTTTGTTTCAGAACCTGAGACAAAGTTACCCTATCCCTTTAAGTTTCAAAAAGTAGACTTCATTGACCTGTACATGGGCTTAGGAACCGGGGGGCTTGGGGAAAAAAAAAAAAAAAAAAAAAAAATATATATATATATATATTGGGGGGCTCAGATATCATTGAGTCCTTAGGGGCTAAGATACCATTGAGCCCCCAATAGTTTAAGTGGGGCTCAGATATCATTGAGCCGCCCCCGATACTTATTGCGGGGATTGGATATCATTAACCCCCCTCCTCCCCAATCATTATATTCTAGGCATGAAACTCATGTATATCTATAATCTACAGACTTACCATTCAAATATAAACATTTTATTTTGTGTAGCGCCCTCTGCAACAGAACTCAACTATCCCTTTAAAACAATCTGTGAGATTTTCAACAACAGTCCAATCTATAAGAGATCATTCTCAGAGATGCACATCCTTCTTCTCATTTACCTTACCATCCCGGTTACAACGGCAACTTGCGAGAGAACATTCTCTGTCTTGAAACGGATCAAAAGTTATCTGATAAGTACAATGACCCAAAGGAAGCTCAACCAAAGCTTAATATTACACATATATAAATCTCGTACAGATAAACTGGACTTGAAAACTATTGCCCAAAACTTTGTTTCCAGATACACAAGAAGACAAAATTTCTTTGGCACATTTGTCTGAGGCTGCATGTGCTCCTCAACAGAAGAAAAGTCTGAAATTTTTCGCCGCGATGACATAGACGAGGAACAAAGAATTTATTTCCAGGTGCAAATTAAAGACAAAGGAGGATCTCAGAATTATATTTTTTAGGTGGTGCCACATTTCAGTTTTTAAATATGTCCGATTATAGGCATGTGTGACAATAAAAGTTCTGTTTTTCACGTTCCTGGGTATTATTTTTCCAAAGGTGTTAAACGTGTGTTATTTTAACACCTAGTACTTTGTCTTACTTAATAAAAATACACTGAATATCTTACAATTCATCGATTTCTTCAAGTAGGCCTACTTTTATTAATTTCCTCAACTGCTTAAAAGTAAGGCTACAAATGCTTTTTTATTGTAGAGCTATAGTGTGAACAGGCTACTTAGTAATTCACATTTATAGATTGGTGCAGATCATTGTGCTTGATCGTCCTCTCCTATATGTTTGTTTTCATTCCTCTGTAATGCCTAGGTCACATATAAACCGGGCCCCGTACGATTTTCCCTACCCGGCGGCTTGCCGTAGATTTAGAGACCGTACGGGAACCGTCCGATTTTCATTTCTACGGCATGTGTGGTCACATATTATGCGGCGCCCGGGAGGTGCCCGGAGAAAATTGGTCGAGTGAAATGCAAGGCGTCCTTAAGGGTGCCGGCAGGGTGCCGGCAAGGTGCCGGCAGGGTGCCGACCGGTAACCTTACGGGCTCCGTCCGATGAGCAGGTGTACCGATGGCTCCCGGAAGGTGCCCTGCCGGGGCCCGGCCGGGGTCCTCAAGGCGCCAGGCCGGGTGCCGTGCGGTTCACTGAACTACAGAGTGAGTCAGAAGAAATGTCCCACTTTTTAAAAGTTGTATTGTCTGAAGTATTAATATTTAATCATGGGTTTCATGATATATCTTGATAGAGTTATCCTCCCAGTACATTTAGGTACCATTTTCATTTGAATCCCTGCATGCATCACTGAATATCAGACACTGCCAGATCTCACTTGCGCCAAGTTACTTGGTGAGGAATAAAACAATGCATTGGACAAAGACAGTCAGACACGTGCACACACCAACACGCACACACACAACACACACAACACACACGGTGACAATTATTTCATAATTGCCCCTTTTCTGATTGAGCATTGATTTTTATCAAGATCGCTGAATGTTTAAGTGGCATAACCCTAAAGTAAAAATCTTTCCCTTTTAAACACATTCACTACCACGATCATGTCATCATTGTCATCATCTTAATCTTCATCATCATCATCATCATCATCACCATCATCATCATCTAGCACAACATCCGCCAATACGCACCAAGAGGACAGCGGCCACTCAACTTTTCGTACGATAAGAAGAATTCCCGACAAAAAGTAACAGTTTTGGTAGGCCTTGTCGGGAATGGAATGCTCATTTGTGGACGTGTGCCTGTGCATGTTCGTATATATATATATATATATATATGTGTGTGTGTGTGTGGGGGTGCGTGTATTTGTGTGTTTTTGTCTGTCTGGCTGATTGGATAATTGAACAAAATGGCTGTCTTTGTTCAAAACATTATTTTGTTCCTCACCTAGCAACTTGGCACAAGTGAGATCTGTCAGTCTTTTAAAGATTGTCTGATGTTCAGTCATGCATGCAGAAATTCAAATGAAAATGGTACCTAAATGTACTGGGAGGATAACTCTATCAAGACATATATCATAAAACTCATCATTAAATATTCATACTTCAAACAATACAACTTTTAAAAAGTGGGACATTTTTTCTGACTCACTCTGTATGTGTCCTCTGGTATCCGTACCTCCTGTATTTAAATCTGCGTTTTACATTTCGAGATGCCGCCGTGAGGGACCCGCACGGGCAATATTCATTTTAAATGGCCCCCGGACGGCAGACGCCTGTTGTTGTGCATATCACCCGGGGCTCTTGAGGGGCCCGTGAGGGCGCCGTAGGGTACACGTACTGAACCCTTGAGCACCGCAAGGCGCCCGTAAATATTTTTTATTAAAATTGAAGAACAAATTCGTAAGGGGCCC